CGCGACGTAGGAAGTGATGAAGGAAGTAGTCAAGGTGAGCTGTCCGGAGTGTGAGGACTGTTTATGACGATTAGATTAAGGTATTTTCAATTCTAAAATGCTATGGAAAGGGAGGAAAATAGGTCCGCGACGTAGGAAGTGGTGAAGGAAGTAGTCTAGGCGAGTTGTCCGGAGTGTTTGAAATGTTTATGACAATTAGATTATGGTATCAGCAAACCTAAAATGCTACGGGAAGGGAAAAAAACAGGTCCGCAACGTAGGAAGTGATGAAGGAAGTAGTCAAGGTGAGTAGTCCGGAGTGTGGGAACTGTTTATGACGATTAGATTAAGGTATTTGCAATCCTAAAATGCTATGGGAACGGAGCGAAACAGGTCCGCGACGTAGGAAGTGGTGAAGGAAGTAGTCAAGGCGAGTAGTCCGGAGTGTGGGAACTGTTTATGACGATTAGATTAAGGTATCTGCAATCTTTAAATGCAATGGAATGGAGGGAAACAGATCCATGACGTAGGAAATTGTGTAGGATGTAGATGTGTGGATTTATGTATCTCCAATACTACGGTGCTTTCAGAGTGAACTAATGATTTTCCCCGAGCAAAGCTCGGTCCCCAGGTACTATAATCAAATGACGACACTAGCTTGAGGTTCGTGACGTATGAAGAGGTTAAGGAAGTAGTAAAGGTGAACAGTCTGGAGTATGGAAACTGTTTATGACGATTAGATTAAGGTCTCTACATTCCTAAAATGCTACGGAAAGGGAGGGAAACAGGTCCGCGATGTGGGAAGTGGCGAAGGAAGTAGTAAAGGCGAGCTGTTCGGAGTGTGGGATCTGTTTATGACGATTAGATTCAGGTATCTGCAATCTTAAAATGCTATGGGAAGAGAGGGAAACAGATCCGCGACGTAGGAACAGGTGAAAGAAGTAGTAAGGTGAGCAGTGTGGAGTGTGGGAACTGGAAACCGTTTGTAGCAGTTTTAACGTATCTGCAATGCTGAAATGCTATGAGAAGGGATGGAAGCATGCCCAAGACATAGGAAATTGTGAAAGAAGTAGTAAAGTCTAGCAGTACGGACAGTGGGGATGTTTGTTGCAATTAGATTAACGTATCTAAAATACTAAAATGCTATGGAAAGCGATGAATACAGGTCCACAACGTAAGTGGTGAAGGAAGTAGTAAAGGCTGGCGGCAGTGCAGAGTGGGGGAACCGTTTGAGCAGATGGATAAATGAATTTGTAATACTTAAATGCTATGAGAAAGGAAGGAAACAGGCCAATGACGTAGTAAATGGTGAAGGAAGTAGTAAGGCTAACATCGCAGAGTGTGGGAACTGTCTTTGGCAATTACATTAATGTATCTGCAATCCTAAAATGCTATGGGAAGAGAGGGAAACAGGTCCACGACGTAGGGTGTGGTGAAGGAAGTAGTAAAGGTCAGCAGTGTTGAGTTTTGGAATGGATTAATGTATCTGCAATGCTAAAATGCTACGGGAAGAGACTGTAGACTGTAATATGTTAAAATGATTACGAAGCACAAATCGATACATATTTTCGATACATGCAATCGTTTACAATCGAAATTTACAACTGAGTTGACAACAGCTGATTTTTACTCCATAGAGGCTAAAAACGATTTTTACTCCCTAAATATTAAAAATGCTACTTTAGACCCGCAGCGCATGCATGAAAAAATACTGTTTTTACTGCAGTAAGACAAAAACAATATAATATGAACCCTTGATGACTCCGCTCAATTTTGTGGATGCCTCTGCGAACGCCACCTAGTATATATAGATAGATTGGTCTCCATGGAAGCATGAGAAAATTCACAATGTTTACATTTGCTTTTACATTTAAATGTAAACAACGAGAACTGTCAAATGCCTATTTCACAATTTCAGACAGCTGATCCAAAAAAATAAAACAACTATGTGGTAGGAATCTTAAACCTTCTGTATCCAATAGTCAATGCTTAAACTTTATGATAGATTATTCATCATAAATCTATTTCAATGATTATGAAACAGATTTTTCCCGTTGCGAAGCAAAAATTAAAAGTGAGAAGAAGAACATATGTTAATTGTAAACAGTCAATGTGTAAATTATCTAAAAATGTGTATAGTTTTGGATGTTGGTTTGTGTTTAATGATATAAGTTATTAATTATAGAATTTTTATTTTGAGGATTTGGCATATGAGTAAGCCTATGATAAATAACACCATTTCAGAGTTCTGCCAGTTTTTGCCTAACTCTGTCCTGTAGAGTTTAAAGTAGCCTACACCTTATTGTATAAAATTGGCTAAATAACTTAGGTACGGTACTTTATAAAAGCTGACAGCCTTTTTACGTTGACTTAAATTTTAAGCTTACCTTTTCCCGTCATCATCGGGAATTATGACTTCTATTAGTTAAAAAAAGTTATTTGTTTATAAATAACTCCTGTACTACTTTGCAATTGCTCGATTTCGAGCAACATGTACACTAGTATTAAAATAAACTAGCTGCTTGAACATGTTTTGGTTGGGCTTTTACTTGCTCTTGAATTTTGTGTGTTATTAATACGAGGGTTTCCTAAGCTTCACATACGAAAGGTAGTGAATGTTTTGTAGAATTTCGCCTACTGTATCGTTTTCTGTGAAATTTTTGTAATGAACTGTACATTAATTCGAAAAATGTTGTCTAAAAACATATATATTTTAAACATTAATATCGAGTAATCTATATTTTGTCACTATACTACTGTGATAGATTCTTTTAGTTATATTTAAATATAAGTAGGAGTTTTAAGTAAGTATACTTTTAATTGAGTGTATCTGTTAAAATTAAATAGTTAAAGTATTTTAAAACATGCACAAGCGCCTCTTATAAACAACACTAGGTAGGAAATTTTAACGCCTTACCTTGAATTCAACTTTGTTTTAAAATTATTTTTTGATTCGAAAATCAACTATGGAGCAGGTGTAAAGAACTACATAATTCTTCCGCTTCCTCTCCCCGTTGAGAAGCACAAGGATAGTGGCTAGTTGGGTTATAAAAAGTTACAGAAAAAAGATACAACTACATTTTTTGGGTGCATTCTTTTCATTACCTATTATGTGTTCAATTACAAAATGGCTATTAAAGTCTTCACGAAATCCACAATAATTCAGATTTGTAATTCGTTTACAACATTTAAAAATAATGTTTATTTTTAGTTCAATAACTTAAAAAAAAACTATATTCATGTGAATATCTTAATTAAAAGATATTAGTTTTATCTCTTTATAATTTGAAATGAAATTATCATGAGATTAATTATGATTTTCGTACAAACATGCAGAAGGAGATATCCAACTTGATGTCCTTCAATGAAGTTATAATAAGACTATGGTACATTGAACAGTTCAGATTTGTAATTTGTTTACGACATAAAATGATGTATATTTCAAGTTCATTAACTAAAAAAAAAAAAAAAAAAAAAAAAAAAACTATATTCATGTATATATCTTAATTAAAGGATATTAGTTTTACCTGGTTGTAATTTACAATGAAATTAACACGTGATTATTAATGATTTCCGTACAAAAATGCAGAAGGATTTATAATAGGACCACTCAAAAGATTTAATCCCGTATTTTTAGCAATCATGTTTTAAATATATTTACTGTTTATTTATTTATTTATTTACTTATAAGTAAAACTAATTTACCAACCGTTATTTTCATAAATTGTGTTTAGAAAACTCTTAAGGGAAAAATCAATAAAGATGATGAGTTTGAGTATAAATAAAGAATTTGTAAGAGGGGACACTGGTGCAAAATGCGTATTTTAATAAGGTTCAAAATTCCTCTTCTTTGCATAATGAATAACGCAATAACCCTTTGCCTTTCTAAAATGACTTTATAGCTGAAATTCTCAAATCCAAGAAAAAATCGTGATCTGAGATTTAATATAATCTGATTGTTAGTTTGAGGCAATTAGGCCTATACAAATAACACTTGTAATTTAAAATGTTTAAAACATTTATATTGCACATACATACCATAGAAATGATAATTTACGTACCTCAATCATGTTTCTATTGTCAATAAAAGAAATAAATAAAACAGAAATAAAACAAATTTAGGAGAGCCTTAGGTAATTGTCTTTTTCCTATGCCCGCTGGATCATAAGCTTTCAAATGAAACCTCAATCGTATAAATTGGTTAAGTAGGACGGACGAAAAGGGGATGTTACAGAAACCTATTATGTTATTAAATCTATATATATCTAGGAAATAGAAGATGTAAAAATACCCCCACCGGAGCGAATCTGCAGACTTCGCGAATTTCTATTTGCCTGATTGGATTTACACTAAAGTGTCTCCTTAAAAATACCACATTTATTCCCTATTTAAATATAATTAGTTTAATGAGTACTTAGGTTTGCTGCAACAACCTAAAAAAGTAAGTAAGTAAGGTAAAAAGTGCTTGTAAAATGTTAATACTGTAGTTTTGTAAGAAATTAATGTATTTTCCAAATTTGATCAAAATATGTTCATTAACAAGCAAACTACAACAGTTGACTTTTTCCCTAAAAAAATAACATAGGAATTTTAAATTTTAATTTTTTTTTATTTCTCTGTAATCATTAGGCGCATAATAACGCTTCAATTTAAGCAGAGCAAAAATGATCCGATTTTGATGAAACTTGGTACAAACGTGTAAACCTACATTTATTCGAACGAGTTTGTGAACCAGCATGATCGGACTATGGGAACACGAAATTTCACAATTTCTTTCCAAACCATTTTGTAGAGCTTAAAAAACAAATAATTTAGTATATTGAAGCGTTATTATGCGCCTAATGGTTACAGAGAAAATTGTAAATTTAAAATTCCCATACAAGTTATATACAGTATATGTTATTATTATATAAGGAATAAGCTATTACCATGAGTACTACGGTAATAGCTTATTCCTTATATGGGAAATTCGCTAAAAACTAGGAAAATCACAACCCACAAATAGTTTTTGGAACGGACTTTATTATGTTGATGGTAGGCACACATATACACTTAGACTAATGATATAGGGCCTAGTTAAACACATTTATACACTATTTACACATACAAATGTACAATTAGATATTAACATAACTGCACACTTCCCTGTATATTCGCATCGTTTCTAAACACCGTAGAAAAGACGTATTAACACACGTATTTATAGAATATGTACAACGAAAATTCACAATGATTACATTTTATTGAGTCAGTAACAATGGTCTTAAGGGTATTTAGCTGCATGAAGGTTTATTGAGGTTGAACAAAAAAGACTGATGGAGGACAAACTATGTTATAAACAAAGTATTAAGGATTTCCCCTAAAACACACTCGTTGAAAATAGATCATACACTTTAGAATATAATTTTCAATATTGACAAAAATATCAGTGGGAATAGAATTACAGCTTGTCTATTTTTAACTTTACTCTTCCTTAAGAATGGAAATCGCTGTTCAGGGTTTGATAAAAAATGTTCAGACCATCGATTAATAATAGAGATCGATGGTTCAGACCTGAATTAGGAAATGGAACGATTCCTGAATCATGTTCTGATCAGTTTCAATTCGTTCAATTCTAGAAATCGTTCAATTCCTGATTCAAGTCTGAATTAGAATCAGATCAGGTTTTGATCAAAATAGAATCGTCAAAACCTTAATAAATTCCTCACGCTGGTACAATCAATGAAGCTTTATAAATTTTAATGTTGTATAAGCCTATATTTTAAATACTTATTATTTAGCGATTTGTTTCATTTATTTGATAACCTGTTATAAAATATACTTAGCTTAGTTTTCGAAGTAAAGCGTAGCAATTATTATTTTAAAATCAAATGGTTTTCCTGTAACAGTTGAAACCTAAATGTTCTCAATCCTACAAACTCAAGTGTATTTAAATTTCCTGTAGCTCTTAATTAAATCTACACATACAAAAATCATCCTCATACAACTTCTGGTTAAACGACTTACAAAATAAGTAGACCTTGAATTGAAAATTTATAAAAACTATCTGTTTCCTTAGCAACATTTTACAGAATTATAGGCAAACTAAATTGAAAGCCAGTTAAAAGATAAGTGTGGTCTAGAAAGGTAATGATAAATCTCAGGAGTAGATCAAATCTTTGCTTGTCCGGAAAATGTGGTTGGTTACTTCCAAACTGTCCCTCTGGTCCAAGAAAATTATTGGAAGATATGTTCCCACAGGTTTAAGTCAAACTCAGGTGTCTTTAATTTTTTTTCAGCTCAGAGTTACTTGAATACGTGGTTGGTATACATTCAAGGGGTGTCCTCAGGTACCAGAAAACTACTGGAAGAGATGTACCCTCAGGTTAGAATATATCTTGGGTATCTTTTGAACTTCCTATAGAGAAATATTTAGATTTTGAACGCGTCATTGGCTACCTTTGGGAGGTCTCTAAAAGTATCAAAAACAAAGATACTTCCAAATGTTGCCTTAGATCCCAACGATTTACTGGTTGAACCCATAAGTGAAGTTAGACCTTAGGTGACTTTGACGTTTTAGCAGGTCAGAAATTCTCTGGCGTTAAAGAAGTGATGGTTCCAGTTACCAGAAGATTACTGGAAGAGATGTACCCTCAGGTTCAGATAAAGTTTAGGTTTTTAGACCTTTCTATAGCTTCAAGCTACTTTGAAAAGGTGATTTGAATGTTTAAGGTGTTCTCGAGGTCCTATTAAGGTACTAGAAGAGTCACACCCAAATTTGAAGTGTGTCTTCAAGTGTTCTAAGTCCCAAAAAATTACAGGGAACCTGTATTTGGAGATCGAGTTCTTAAAAGTGTCTTAAAATTCTTGCAGCTTAAAGCAACTCCAGTCTTGGTGGTCTCTTAAACCCACGAGACAACTGTCAGGGTTGTATTCACAAAGACTGCACACTCAGGTGCTATTGAACTCTCTGCAGCTCAGTAGCATTCTGGTCTAGAAGAGGTGGTTGGCTGCTTTCAGGTGGTCTCCGGGCCCCAACAGATAGCTTGCTGGGTTCGTACCAAGCAGTGACGTGAACGGTGAGCTCAGGTGGTGATGGTGTTGTTGGTGCGAGCTCAGAGCTTTGTGAGCTTGCTGAAGCAACGAGCTCGTGTTGTTCACAGAACACGGAGGTTGATGCTGTTGGTGATGAGGCTGGTGCGACAGAGGCCACTTCGTGGAGGATATCGAGTTGGTCCCGTCTTCGGCCATTTTAACTGTAAAAGAAAAATATGGTTAACTTTTGTGTATGAGATTTGTATCATTCTAAAACACCAGGGTAGGTATTTTAGGACAACAATATGTAGGAGTGTCAAATAAATGAGATGATAGATTTCTGAGTAAGATCAGCTGGTGGTTCTTCAGCAAGGAGCAGTTTTAGTTTACAAATCCAGATGAACAGCTGAGCCCAGTTTCGATCCGTAGAAAAGCTAAGGATTTTCTCAAGAACAAACCAACAACCTTATGATTATTATGCAGTACTATACCCCCTCAGCTACCTTAGTATCAAAATGTTTCATGTTACAAGTCAACCAAACGTGTGGTGTTATTTATACATAGTTTTTTTATTTATCTAGAAAACATCAATGAAATATTCTTATGATACTTCGAAATCACGTACACTCACTGTGTGTTGTTTGAATAGTCCATAGCCACAATGGTATTAAATAAATAAAATATACAATAATTATTGTTATAAAATTACTATCTACGTTTGATGATCAACATTATTTATGTAACAATTAAATTGGAATTTTAGCATTTTTATTTGGTTGGTATACAATGTGTATTAATTTTGTCTTAATAGAGAGAGTACACGTTGTTTTCGTAGTACAATTATAAACAATATGTTGCAACCTACTCCTCTTTATTAATGAATTTCAAAATATGAATTTACTTAAATTAGATAATAAAATTACAATGAAGTTACAATAAAATATATTTAGGTTCTATAGCTATTAACAATCTCATTGGGCTAGGCTATGACAGTGAAATATATTTTGGTCTAAGTTTTTGATGGGCTAGGCTAGATAACAATTTGGAGAGCAAATTATCTTAAATCTAGGGGTTGGTTCGTGCCGGGTATGGAATTCTGATAGGCTGATTAACTTAATTTATACAGTACTAATATAGGCTAAATAATATGAGATAGGCTAATAATGAGAATAAAAAAATTTAGGCTATATAAGTTCTTAATTGAAAGTCACTTGAATTTAGTCAATTCACAATGTGGTGTGATGGTGGTTGTAAATTGATGATGAGTTTTTGAAGTGTTAATTAAAGTTGATATTACCAATTTGTTGAATAGTGATTATCTTCTTTCTTTATGTCTCTTTATATTCAATATTTATATGTATTCTGAATGTTAATTTTCAATTTTGGATATTTAAATCACTGGAGACTTGGCTCCCACATCCATCTCTCTCTATATCTTCCACCACAAGCACATTTTCTTCCTTTTCTTTAGCTTTCCTTCCAACAATTACTTCACACCTGGACACTGGACAGTACAAAAGAAATATTTCCTACCTAGACACTATTTAATTTTATAATGGTATTTTTGAATATAGTTTTTCTTCTTCACTAATTTATATTTCATTAAATTTAAATATTATTTTTGAAAATACAGTAATTAATAAATATTAAAAGTAATTTAGCTACAATTCACATATGAGTACATTCATGTTTTATCTCAATATCCCCTCAGAAATGATGGTATGGTGATGAATCAACAGAAAATTATTTCGATAAGATAATGAATGAATGTATGACAACTTAACTAATTTACATAAACAGAACCCTTTTTTTTATCTAGAATAAAAACAAACATTGAAAACATAAATATAACCTGATAAAACATAACATGGGACGTTAACACAACAAAACATGATTAATAATTGAGCGGAGCGAGCGAAGCGAGCGTAGCTCTTTGGGATCAACTTCAATGCAACAAATAAAGCAACATCACTCAATAACGGCAGAACACATTTCAGCTAAACTTAACAAGATTACTTAGACTAATAGTGAGATGGTTAATAAACAAACAAATTTCAATTAGATAATGCTAATGCAATTTAAAACGAACTTAAAATTTCCAAATTTTAACATTAGGCTTATGGGACTAAAGTAGCCATATGACAGTTTTTTGTTTACAAGAAAAATGTAAACAAGAGAACCAGTGACTACTTTCTTGGGAACCTATTTGTGTTGCCAGCTGATCAGAAACAGCCAATGTTAGAAATCAGGATTTAATAAGCGATATATTGAACCGAATCGAAATCGATATTTAATCCGATAGTACATCACAGGTTATATTATGTTGAATTACATCGACGGTGCAGTAAGTTATTACACTTATTAATAAAACGTAGATTGAACACTGGTCTAATTTAGGCATGTGGGGAAGGTAGGTCGGGGTTTATGAGTATTCGTGACTACATGTTTTGAAATAAGGTTAGATTTGGGAGGTAAAGTGTAGGTTATAGCGAGTATGTTTTATCTATGGTTATAGGTAGGTGATCGAGTTGTTTATTTGTGTTGCACCAAATAAACTGATAATATTTTCCTGGTCAAAACTACTATAATGCACTTTTGGAAGAGGTATCTGAATAACAAGATGTAGTAAAAACAAGTCTGAATTATTATAATTTTAATCAATAAAACCAGCATCTATTGATTTTTTACATTTAGTTACTTTTATACAAATATCAAATCACGTTTGTTCCGCTCAACTGGCTTTCACCTCTCTGAAAGCAACCCTAGTATTATTATTACAAACAAACAGTGGTAAAGAACAGAAACAGTGGAAAACATAAAGTGGTTTTGTGTCTATATATTTGTGATGTGTGAGTGTGTGGGAATTAACCATTTCCTATTGTCTATCAGTTTATCACCACTGAACACACAGTCCTCTCATCTTTTATAAAAGTTTATCTTGAGCACTATAATTGTCTTTTAAACAATACGGTCATTTTCACTAAAAGATTGTTTATGCACTTGATTTTCAGAGAACAGGAAAGGGAATTAAACATTTTCGTTGTTCATGGGGGGAAAATACTTCTTGATTGAAGAAATGTGGTATGGACCGAATTCTTCTGGGTTTTCTAAGCTACTAATGAAGTATGTCGATGATCCTAACACTCTGCTAATCTTGAATGGTCCTTCATACACTTCAAATAGTTTGGCAGTCTCGCCTTGCGCTAAATTTGAAAGAGGATGATTTCTTATGAGTACTAAATCGCCTGGATGAAAATAAGTTATATGTGATTTGTTAAGATTGTTGGCTATTTTATTACACTTTTCTTTTATTATATGACATAATATCCCTTCTGTACTAACTTTGTTAAACTTTAATATTTTCTGTGAATCATTTATATTTATTATTATTTGTTCTTGATTGAAATCCATAACAGTTTTCCATAAGCTTAACACGTCCATTCCGAATATAATAGGTCTTACTAAATTGGGTACAATCAACATTTGAATGTTCGTGATTTGATTATCTATGGTGATTGGCAACATTATTATTTTTGATATTTTCTTTGATTTATCATTTACAGCGGTTTTAATACTTGTACCGACAACTGGTAATTGTTCATGACGGCCAATGTTTATTTGGTTCTCAGAGTACCAATTTCAGACATACACGTTACGTTTGAACCTGTATCAATAAGAGCATTTACAGAAATATTATTAATTTTAATTTTGATTTCTGGATAATGAATTGGAATTTGTTTTAATGAGCATTGTTCATTAAGACTTGGTTCTTCTGTAAGTAGGAATTCTCGGTCACAATAGATATTACATATAGTTTGAGCGTCTTCGTCATTTGGTTTATAATTATTAATTTGCCTACTTAATCCGATTTTGTTAATATTTGGCACTGAAGATCTTTGTTCATTTAATTTAGATTCTGATGTTGATTGTAGGCAACTATTATCGACAGTGCCTAACAGTTTAAAGGCTCTTTATATTCGTTAGGAGTTGTTGGGGAAATATTTGGTTGATTTGGACTTCGTTCGATAGTCATGTGGCATATTTGTTTTTGTTCATGGGTAAGATATCGCCTTCTGTCATTTTGATTAACGTGGTAATTGGGTTTGGAACTTTGCTGGTTATTCGCTGATGGTTGATAATTATTTGTCCTACGGTCGTTATATCTATTATAAGGGTGATCATTTGGTTGAGGTGCTGTCCGGTAGTATTGGTTCTTTGGAACATAGGCTCTATTATCGTAACGGTTTCGATTTGAATCTGATCCCCTCCATTCTTTCTTATGTGGATCATTATAATCTTCATTTCTTCGTGATTGCTCGTTGAATTTGTTTTGCGGATTTTGATGTAAGTTTGAGATGTATGGTTTATGTTGATTTTTCTTCTGTTGATCTTTGATGTCTTCCCGTAAAAGTAAGGCTTCAAACCCTTGGATAGTAGTTATATTTTGTACTCGTCGTGCATTCTGGATTAGTTCTTCGAAATGTTCGCACAGGCAATCCACTATTTCTTCTTCATCAAGGGGTGGTGTCAATGATTGTAGTGTGAGGACACGTTCGACAAAATATTCAGATCGTGAAAGATTACCATTGTTACGATATTTTTCAGATTCCAGTCTTTGTCTGATTCCTCGTTGTGTGTCTTTATTCCAGTATTTGCTTTCGAACATGTTTTGGAAACATTCCCAATTACTTACGTCACGTTTCACTAGGTTAAACCAACGTGCAGCGTGATTTTCTAGGCTATTTTCAATAAGGTCAGTTAAAAATTCAACATCGTCATCGTTTGGATTCTTTTTAAGGAGACTTTTCTTGTAATATTTATATAATTTGGCAATGAACTCTTTAGGGTTATGTCCTCTACCATTGAATTTTGGTAATGTCATATCTGACACGATTCCGGAGTTTCCGTTACATGTAACATAGATATGTTGAGGGGACGATGTTACTTGTTCATGTTTAGTGATATTTTGTTTTATTTTAATAATCTCCTCACTTTGTTTTTGTAGATTCTGTTGGATAGCTGAAATTTCTTGACCTTGATTTTTAATAACGATCAGTGAATTTTGTATTTCATGGTCATTTTGTTTTGATTTTGCTGTTATAAGTTGTTCATGTTCCAACCTGAATTGGTTTATCTGTGAATGAATATCATATTTTTGTTTTTGTATTTCCAAATTCACTTTTTCAAGAGTTTGAGAATTATTTTGGATTATCATGGACTT